TATCTTCTCTTGTTGAATGGAGAAAGATGTTCCTTGTTGACTTTTGCATTTTCCTAGGGCCTAGATAGTGACTTGCATATGAGTGCTCTACAAGTTATTTTTTCAATTTGATTTCAAGGCTTTTTAAAAAAAATCTGTGTAATTCACAGTAGGTTCTAAAATTTAGGTTTAATATTATCAAGGTTATGCAGGTAAATAAGATCTCATCATTCTGTGGGACATACTTGTTATGAAAAAACTATTCCAATATACAACTATAGTCCCCATTTTTTCTTGTCCAGAGACAGTCATCTTTTGGGCCTCCATGTCTCTGAATTATCATGTTATAGTACTTCCTGTTGAACTTTTGAGGAGTTATTGACTTTCCAAATAGAAGATGAAGCTCTTTTTTTTTTTTCCAATTTCTCCACCACTGTGCACACTTTCCATCTTCCCATTTCCCAAAATAGTTGCATTTTTATTTTGGTTCTATCTGTACTTAGTGCTTATGTTGTTATGCATATGTAAATTTTCTTCACATATGTGACATATATCATGACTGCTTTTATTTCCAATGCTATTTTATTTTCCCTAGAATTGGAGCGCAATCTGTAAGCCTTCCCCCAGTTGTGCAAATCTTTTCTCAATATATTCATATCCACTAGGTATTCTATTAATCTCTACTTAACTCATCTTAGAGCTATCTCACTTGACAAGCCCCTTGAAAGCCCATTACACATCCTTTTTGGGTCTTCATCACTATGAAAATTCCCTTTATTTCTTCTGATGCTGGGTTCCATGTTGCTGATGTTGTCCTTCATTTTGGAGTACATCTTCCAATAGTTCGATTAGAGAGAGAGAAATTTGGAAGAATTTATACATCTAAAAATATTTTACTATTTGCATACTTGGTTTGACTACTTGGGAGAATTCCTCTTACAAAGAACTGTAACATGGAACTCCACTGTCTTTACCGTCAGTTTTTTCTGTTAAATGATTGATGGAAATCTACCGTCTGTGATCATTTTTGTCTCCAGGTTCTGAGATGTCATGCTCATGTGCCATCCTGAGGTCTATATTCATCTGTAGCACTGATTACTCAGTAGCTCCTTTCACTCTGGGAACTCAGGTCTTTAGTTTTGGGAAAGTTTCTTGAATTTTTTCCTTGATGAATTCTCTTCTATTTCACTATTTTCTTTCTAGAACTTTTTTTTTGGGGGGGTGGGTGGAGGGGCTGTTGACCTTTTGATTTTTCACTTGTATTTTCTCTCCTCTTTTTGTTTTTAAAAAAATTTCCCCTAGTTTTTATGTGTTTTTATTTCAATTTCAATGCTGTCATTTTACTTTCTGAGAGCTCTTTTTTTCCCCTCTAGTTTTTTTTAAAGCATTCTCTTATTTCATAGGTATAAAAAAAGATCTCATCTCTCACTTGATAATTACAAAAAAATTCAAGTTTTCTTAAAAATTTTGTTCTTGAAAAGCATCCGTTTCTTCCAGTTTGTTTATCTTGTTTGTTGGCTTATTTTGTTTTTCATATTAGCTTTTCCCAGCTGTCTAGTGGTTCTTGGCTGGCTACTCTCTAACAGGCTCACGGAAAGCTCTGTGTGTGGTGTACAACTCTTCAGTCATGATGTCTACTGAAGTCAAAAGCCTGTGACCTTTCACTGACTGAGAGATTCCAGTAGGCAGATCAGAATCCTCCAAGATTTCCCTTTTCTTCCTAGAACCTCTCTGTTCTTGTCTCTTTGGGAGGCCAGGAAAGAAAGAAGGATGGGAGATCTGAATATTCCATATATAAACTATCAATTAATCCTCATTGTCAGTAAAATGCATCTAAACTTCTAGTCTTCTGTCTCTGGTCTCTATGCCATGAGTCTTCTGCAAGGGTTGTTGCTGGTGGTGGGTGGGGTTAATCAATCAATGGTGGGGCTCATGCAGGACAAATCACTTTTTAAAAAGAACTTAACTAATCTGTCTTTCTGCTGATGTCTTTTTTTTAATTTTTTTTATTGTTGGTTGTTCAAAACATTACATAGTTCTTGATATATCATATTTCACACTTTGATTCAAGTGGGTTATGAACTCCCATTTTTACCCCGTATACAAATTGCAGAATCACATCAGTTACACATCCATTGATTTACAGTCTTTTCTCTCATTTTCCTTATCTTCCCCCGGCCACCCCAATGTTTATTTTAAAATACTTGACTGTCATTTTACTAGAGTGTTAACAAGGAAGCAAATCTTTAGCAGGATAAAAACTGAGACTTCTTTATTTTTGGTCTGTGGAATATTATCTTTCATCAGATTTGGAGCATTCATTTTTTTCAAGTATAGCTTCTGCCTTATTTTCTTCTTAGATGCTTCTGAGAGTACAGTCACACTTGTTTTTAAACTTTTCACTGTTTCAATATCTCATATTATTTTCTGTATTTTTATTCTTTTTGTGTATTTTTTCCATTTATGGTTTCAATGTACTAGCCCTGTTTTTTGTTGTGTCTAAGTCAAGAACTGACATTTTATATGAAACTGAACAGATGCACGTGCAATTCATTTTTATGTGTATTTCGGTGTTCTGTTGGGTGTTCTGTTGAATCTTCTGTCTTTCATATATTTTCTCTTTCCCCTTGTTTTTTTCTTTTTATTGATGCATTGTAATTATATATGATAGTGGAATGCATTGGTACATATTTGCACATGCACATAATATAACAGTGTAATTTGGTCAATTTCATTCCCTATCCTTTTCCTCCCCTTATTGCTTTCCCCTGGTTCCCTCCTTCTATTCTACTATTTTTCCTTCTATTTGCATGAGATTCCCACTACTACCACCCTTTTTTGCTTCTTTTCCGTCTGTTTTTCTCTCTAGCTTTCACATGAGAAACAAAAAACAACATACCACTGTTTACTTGTTGAGTCCAGGTTTTTCACTTAATATGCTCAAGTTTCATCCATTTTCCTGAAAATTTCATAATTTCTTCTTTATGGCTAAAGAAAACTCTATTGTGTGTACTACGTTTTCTTTATCCATTCATCTGCTGACAGGCTAATTCCATAGTTTGTCTAGTGTGAACTGTGCTGCTGTAAACGTGGGTATGCACGTATCACTATACCACACTGACTTTAATTTGGGGGGATAAATATGGATCAGTGGTATTGCTGGGTCATACTGTGGTTCCATTCCTACCTTTTGAGGGCCTTCCTGATTTCCATTGTACTAATTTACAATCCCATCAACAGAATAAAAGTGTTCCATTTTCCCTAGCATTTACTGTTGTTTGTATTTTTGAGGGATGCCATTCTAACTGGAGTCAGGTGAAATTTCAGTGTAGTTTTTGGTTTGTATTCCCCCAATTGCTAAAGATGTCGAATTTTTTTTCCTAAATTTTTAGTCATTTGTATTTCTTCTTTTGAGAAGTGTCTTTTTAGTTTATTTGCTCATTTACTGATTGGGTTTTTTTTGAGCTCTTTACATATTTAGGATATTAATCCTCTGTCAGAAAGGTAGTTAGCCAAGGTTTTCTCCCATTTTGTAAGTTCTGTCTTTATGCTCCTATTCCCTTTGCTATTTAATTTGATGCCATCCCACTTAATTGTTTCTTGTGTTTTAGGAGTTTTATTTAGGAGTTTATTAATGAAATTGAGCAAATTAAGGAAGTTGGTACCTGTATGTTGGAGTGTTGACCCTATTTTCTTCTTCCTAGCTCTTTGATCTATTTTGAGTTGATGTTTGTGCAGGCTGAGAGACAGGGATCTAGTTTCATTCTTCTACGCATTCCTCCCGTTTTCTTAAACATGGGAGTCAGAGATAAAGTTCTTGTTAGCTTACCTCAAAATCTAGATGACCTTTGAGTCTTCATAGTGTCTATCTGGGCTTGTTTTGTTTTTGTTTTTGTTCATGTGCTCTGGCCATACTTGGAAAATTTTATTTTATGCTGGATTTGTGTTTGAAAAATTGTGGACACACCCAATGGTGATATATTCCTCCAGAGATGGTTCACCCTCCCCCAGCTAGGACAACAGAGAAGCAAATGACCATTTAATCCAATCAAGATTTTGGTGAAATGAGGCTGGTTTGCAATCCTGGAAAAGTTCCTACTACTTCTGGTTTGTCCTGTCCCTGCAGAGTACTTGTTTGAAATTCTGGTATGATCTTCAAGTCCACTTCCCATTAGCAAGTTCTAAATTCTTTAATCATTTTCTTATGAAACTGCTGAAAAGTTCCATTATACTTTATAGGGATTTTTCTGGTTAGATTTTCAGCTTTCTGTTCTGTGTGGCCCGAGAATTCCACAAATATCTAATGGAAAACTGTAGCGTGCTTGAAACCACCCATATCTTTACCAAGAACTCTCCTGGTTTTTCCACTCCTCAGCAGTGGTCCCTGTGAAACAAAGCCCAAATTCTTCCTGTGCTTGTAACTGACAAGTGTCAATTTAAAAATAACAAAATTTCAGCTCAACGTTTCATGAGTATAGTTCTTCTGAGAAGTTTCAACTTCTCAAGAGTATAGATCCTTTAGTTCTCAGTGCCTCGGCTGCCCTCTACTGCATTCAGACTTCTGTATTTACCTGGTTTACTTGGGGAAGCACTGAATGGCTGCTAGCAGCTCTGTACCACTTGGAATTAGAAGTCATCAAGATTGACATTTTTTATTTTTATTTTGAGAATGGGGAAAAGATTTCACAGTTGGTATAGGATTAATCTGAACCTACGTTAAAGTACTTAAAATCACTGCTATTAGTTCCATGACACTCCTTTTACCATGCGTATTACTCAGGTAGTCTCTTGAAATATTGAAATAATATAGTGTATCAGTAGACTTTACTTTTTAATGTTCTTGCACTCATGCTATATATCTACCTATATTAGAAAATTCACAAATTCTTTATTTTGAATGTTAGTCTATCCACATTTATAGAGAAATACAGATATACTTTGTGTACAAAAAACCAAAGTCTTTTCTGTCTTTATGGGATGTTATATGTGACACTGATAGACTATATTGTTTTATTTTTCAGCATCTAACATTCACAAGGGAATTTGATTCAGATTCTCTTAGACATTACAGCTGGGCTGCTGACACCTTGGACAATGTAAATCTTGTCTCAAGTCCTGTTCATTCTGGGTAAGGAACCTAAATGTCATTTTTCTTTCTCCTATCAAATTAACATTGCATTTATTATTTAAAATTATAAATTAACCCCGATAACTTTCATATGCATGAATATATTCATATATAAAATATATACTCAGTATATGTGACATGCAATTATAAATCATTTAATAATTTTTAGCAAATCTGTATATCTATTTTTATTGTTTATTTAAAGTACAGTGTTAGAAAAATATTACATTCAATTAATTAGATGATTGGTGCAGCAAAAGTTCTTTTACATCTTTAATTTTCCTTTTCAATAAACATAATTTTAACAATCATTCTTCTTCATTTTATTTTACTAGCCAAATGAATTTTTCCCTAGGTATTCTTTCAAATAAAAATTAAATGTCTGAGTATTTATGTTAATTTATCTGATTGTATTTGTGCTTTGCATCTAATGATAGAAGAATTTCAGATAGGCACTTTGGCACATGCCTGTAATCCCAAGTACTCAGGAGACTGAGTCAAGAGAATCACAAGTTGGAGGCTAGCCTGGGCAACTTAGCCAGATCCTGTTTCAAAATATAAAAATAAAAGGAGCTGGGGATGTAGCTCAGTGATAGAGTGCCTGCATATGTGAGACTCAAGAGTTCAATTCCCAGTGCTGCAAAAAAAAAAAGGAATTTCAATCAAACATTAATTGTTTTGCGCTCTGGTAGTCTCATCTTTGTGTGTGTGTGTGTGTGTGTGTAATACAGACCTTTTACTTGACGAATGATTTTGACATTGATTGACAAGTGATTTTCCTTTAAAAAGAAAGTGTACGCTTGAAAGTTTCCAACTGACATTGTAAAATTTTCCTTTTACATTCTTGAAGCAAAAATGTAATTGAAATATATAAAATTATTACTTGAAAATTAATTTTAAAAGATAGTAAAGAAATTCACTTTTAGAAAGTGAACATAGAAATATCTGTGTACCAGAAATGCTGAGTAAAAACCACATCAAAGAAGTCCCTCATTGCTGTCTCCCTGGCCAGTGAAATTTAAGGCAGGAGGCTAACAGGTGACCTGCTTTGATAAGTGAATCAATAAATAAGAGCATTTTTAGATATTGGGTTCTTTACCAGTAGGTAATTCAAAACTTGGAATGATTGCCATTGATATAAATAGAATAAAAATAATTTGTTAAAATAGTGACTATTTCATATTATTTTTGTCTTTAAGACTGGCAGTGAGACTTTTTGTTGTGATCAAAGACAAGAGATGATTTAGAATTAAATAAGTTACTGGAAGCAACTTACAAAGTATTTTCTGCTGCTTCTAGTTAAAATAACTTTTAACAGCTAAAATTTACCTAGCTCTTTTTATTTACCTGGCCTTAGACTAAGTCTTTTACATGTATTATCTCATTTAATACTTACTTGAACCTTTAGATAACACTAAATATAGACATTATTCATTGTCTCCATTTTGTAAATGATAAGTCAGAGGAAAGAAATATATGATAGGTTAAAATATCAATTTAGAATTTTGTCTTTTGTAATTCTGAGAAAGGAATCCATACCATGTCATTTGAATAAAAGTCATTTATGTGAAATTGTTTTTAAAGCTACAAATTCCATGTGGTATTTGAATCATTAACATTGTATTTCCTTAGCTCAGAAAAATTTTGAATTATTATGGTAATATTAACTTTAAACTTCCTAAAATATTCATATGATTTATATTAGATGTATGGTATGTGGGCCCAAAATTGTAAAAACACCCACAAGAAAAATCAGATTTGAGAAATAAAATATGAAACTCTTGCCATACCTGCAGTAGACATGTCCATTTTTTTTTTAAATCAGGGTTGGTGAATTGCTGCCATAGAGCTATCATCACTTTGCAATCTCCACATACAAAACAAATATTCTAGAGTTTAATTTAGTAAACTGAGAAGTTGAGTAAATATGAAATAATCAGAAATGAACTTTCCCATACATTGGAGATGATGAAGAATTTGAATATGCAGATTATTTCCTCTTTCCCTTGAAATTTCATTGAGGACAGAAGACTTGTACAATAAAGCAAAATAACAGTGTGGACTTATTGGAATAGGAGGAAAGAGAGATGTTGTACACTTGAAAATATTTCACTATTGCCAGGTCTGTAGAGTAATTTATTCAGCCATTTAAGGCAAAATACTTTTCCAGGTTGTCCCACAAATGCTGAATGCCATGGTTTCGTTTCCTGATGATTTTTGTTTTTCTTTGCTTGTCATTGACATTTTCTGTTGCTTGCTTCTAATTATCTCAAATTAATTTCCCCATATGCTTTCTAAATTATTTTGCAGCTATTCTTCTCCACTTCCTCAGTATGATTCAAGGTGATAATTGTGTCCTTTATGTGAACCATCCTTTCTGTATTTTTAATATATGTGAATTTTTCCTCACAGTTAGATTGTGTCAGTCTCTGTAGTGTGTTAGCATCTGTCATCCTGCTGTTCTCAGAACTAGAAACATTCATATGTTAGTTTTAGGATCATGTGTAGAATTCATGCTATAGTTTAAATGTTATTAAGATACAAATATTATTAAACATCACATTAATTTGTTTTTCTTTGTTGGTATAAATTATGTTGCATGACTTTTTCAGCACATTATTTAAGGAATGAGTTTGGAAAACAAATCACAATGTTATTGACCTATATTCTGCCTAACACATGTTCTTACCTTTCTTCAGTCTGTTGGCCTATGAAGTTAAAAACCTTAGAACAGGAAATGATTGTTAAGAGTAGCAACCAAGCACTGTGTGCTTCAGAGAACACAGAGAAAGAGATTCTTCTAGTTTCTCATTAAAATCACTTTAGCCATATTTTGTCCATTTGATTCTGATATTCTTTGTAGCTAGTGGATGTTTTTAAACTAAACTTGATACCCTTACTCTACCTTCAGAGTTCTCAGCTACAATCACTATAGATCCACATCTATCCATCCATTAATGTTAATAACTAAGTCACAACTAGGCAGTTTCTAGGCACACATAACAAAATAGTTTTGCACTTGCAAAATAAATATTCTATAAACATATGTGTTTACTGTGTGCTAGAACTATGCACAGCTCTACAAGTCAAGCAGTGAACAAGATAGCCCTGATCTGAATCACTTGTCTATATTGTTGAGACTCAGCTGTTACCAGAGCAGCAAACATTCCCCTCTCAGTGGAAATTCTATGGGGATTCGTACTAATACAACTGAATTTTCAAACTCAAAGTTTGTCTTGCATCTTTTTATTTTGAACTTTTTTGTCTTGAACCATTTTTAATCCATTTTGTTTCTATTGGTTCCAATGAAAATATTTTACTGCTAAATAGAGAAAAATCAGATTTTTGTCATAGGCTTCTTTATACTGTTGTCATATTACATTAATTATTGAATAAAAAATAGTTTCATATATTTATTATACATATACATACATATTATTGTGTGTGTCTAGGAAAAAGAAAGCACCCTGGAGCAATTTCCAGTGAACCTCATATCATTTAGCATTGGAAATAATTCTTGTAGGCACTTGAACAAGTGAACAAATATCTTTTCTTTTGAATGGAGAGGAGTCTTTTCCCCTCTTACCTTGAATATCAGTGGTCCCAGTCTCTGAAAATGGATAGACTGTTATCAAACATACAGTTAATTCAGAGTGAAATAATTAAATCCATAAATAAACAAAAAGGGTGTGAAGGTACATCCACCTTAAGATGAGCAGAGTTGGTTCTGGAAATCTGCTTGGTTGAAAAATTATCCCCATCCTGTTGCTCGTCTCCCTATGGGGATTATAGGCTAATTTGTTTTGTTGAAGAGGTAGGTCATTCTTTCCAAGGTCAAGAGCCAGCATTCTTCAGAAAAGAGTCCATAAGGGGTTAAGCTCTATTTGCAGGATGTTAGCACTGTGTTTAGATGAAAGTATCATAAAGAATTTTGATGGATGGGATTATTTTTTTCTCCAAAAATACTGTAAGAATTCAGACAGCTTTCTCATGATAATATTTGGCGCTGTTCTAGTAATAAGTATATTTCCCATGTGAAAGTTAGAATGCAAGAAGTATATGTTTGTGTTCCCCTGTCTGATATGCACTGTTCCATATGATGGACTCACTGAATTATGTTCATCAGAGTAAAACTCTGGAACAACAATAGATGGGCTCATACATGATAGGAAGCAAGGATTCCAATATGCTCTTATTCATATTTGACACAGTTTCTTTATATTGCCATACTTACATGTTATTAAATATTTTCCTTACTAACTTTAAAGACCAAATAACAGAATTATATAATTTAGAGGCACTTTCTTAAAAGACTATATTCTACTTTTTGTATTACTGCATACAATGTCTAAATATAGATTATTTTACATAGATTATTTTATAATTCCATTTTTATACTGGAAATATTTAATCCCTTTCCATCAAAATTGTCTTAGCAAATCTAGTCATCTGCTTTTATTTTTATATTCTGTTTCATCTTAGTAAAAACTAGAGTGTTGGTATGGTTAAATATTCCTTTACTTTATGAGTTGTACATGTTAGACATACTGTGGAGTTTCATCTTACTTGTAGTGGGGAGAGAGATTACATAGTTAACGTGGCAGAAACCACTTATAGTTAAAATAACCTTGAATGTATGTTAAAAGACCACGGACAGTGTTGGTTTTTTTTTGGTTTTTTTTTTGTTTTTTTTTAATCATGGCTGCATTTTTAATAGTTAGTTTTTATCCCAACTTTGAGAGATTCTCTGTTCCCTCAATGAGAGCATCTCAGAAAGTGGTTAGCTTCTGGGAGGCCATGTTCCACCAAATGTAAGTTGTATTTCAGCTTTTTGCCCAGTGCACAAGTTTAATGCATGTTTGATGTGAACTCCACTGTATTTGCTTCCAATTTATCTTGAGAGAAATCAATAGCTACATTGTCTGTCACTTTAAACTGTAACCTTTAATTTGAAAACCCACTCTGGAAATGATTCAAGTCTGTCCTCTGGTCTTCTCCCTACAGGTTTCTGGTTAGCTTTATGGTGGATGCAAGAGGTGGCTCCATGAGAGGAAGTCGGCACCACGGGATGAGAATCATCATTCCTCCACGCAAGTGTACAGCCCCCACCCGAATCACCTGCCGTTTGGTAAAGAGACATAAACTGGCCAACCCACCCCCCATGGTGGAAGGAGAGGGATTAGCCAGTAGGCTGGTAGAAATGGGTCCTGCAGGGGCACAATTTTTAGGGTAAGTTTTGCTAATTTTAATCTTAGCCCTCTTACCACATTTTTTATTTTCTTTACCCTTGTTAACTTAAGGAGTTAACTATTAAAATGACTTAGTTGAACCTGATTGAGGATACTTTTTGTGTAGTGTCAAAGGTCACAAAGCTGTGTGATTCTGTGAGAGGCTATTAGGCTGGTACTTTCTTAACTCAGTTTGCTGGTCAAGGCTTTTACTAACCGAAAAGCATGTTCTCAGCTCAGCGAGTGCACGGAACCCCATCGGCCCCCGTGCAGGTCAAGGCACGATTCCTAGAAAAACATGCAGATGCTGGAATTGTATCACTTCATTAAATAAGTGTATACTCTGGGGATGTCCTTTTAAAGATAATTTTTAGGGACACAGTCCATTGTGATATGGTACTTTATAAAAAAGAAAAATAAATTGAATTCGTTCTCTGAGGTGGCACTTGGGTGCAAATCAGGCAGGCTCTGTCGTGACTGACAGTTTGTTCATAATTTCCCCTTCTCGTTTCTCTTCCTGCTGCATGGATGTTATTCAGTAAACTGCATCTTCCTACCAATCCTCCCCCTGTAAATGAGGGTGAGAGCTTGGTTAGCCGAATCCTGCAGCTTGGGCCTCAAGGAACAAAATTTATTGGGTAGGATCTTTATAGACAAGATACAGAATGTCTACAATTTTTTTTTTCCATTTTCAATTTTTTTCTGTCACACTCATGGTCTTATTCTTGTCTTAAGTTTATTTTTATTTTTTAAGTTTTTTAATGCTTTCAGTTGATGTGTGTCACTGAAAGAAAAAAAATCATAGTGGCTTGACTTAATGTAGCACCGCTACCTATCTTGTGCTTTTCAAAGCATGTGGAATTCACTGCAAGCATTCTGCTTCCATAACCTTGTGCTTCTATAAACCTTTCTTTAATTTGAAATGTTTCTTCTGAATATACTTTTTAAGCTAGACTCAGAGTCTTCAAGTTTAGCCCAGTGTAAGAGAAGGTATTTTCAGGCTTTGAATCGACATTTGCTATCAATGATATACATGTATGTGTGTATATTTGTCTCTATGTGTATAATTAGATCTTTATTTCTTTTTTTTAAAAGTACTTACGAGTACTCTGTAATCTTTATGGGCTTAGAAAAGAAAAACTCATAAGTAAAATGATTTTGAGAAGTATTGGGAATACATGATATTTAAAGACATTGAATTAGGTAGCAAACAATATTCTGTTGTTGAATTGTTTTGTTTTGTCTTGTTTAAGCTGAAATGTGTTGATGTTTGTTGTTTGTTCGCTTGTCTGGTTGTTGTATTTGCCTTGGCAGTCTGCATGAAGAGACCTGTTATGAAAAGTTATGCTTGGCTTTCACCTTGGTCAAAGGCCCTGTTCATACCTTCTCTCCAGTACTGTTGAATGTCAAACGCAAAGCCACATTCCTTCAATATTGACAGAGACAGTATCTGACACATTAACCTGCAAAGATTGTATCTTGTTCTCAAAAGAATAAACAAATAAAATTTAATGTGCAATAGTATGATGTTAAAAATTGTGGTAAATATCTTAATAGTTCTTGAAATTATTAGCACTGTTAGGAATACTTGTTTTTGTTTCTGCCTATTAAAGAATAGAGGCTAATATTAATAAATTATATTTAAAATCTTAATCTGAATTATGACTATTTTGCTAAAAGTAAAATTACAATTATCCCCATTTTAAATGAATATTTCTATAAAAACAAATCAAATATTCATATTTTCATTATTTGATCTTTTCAACTACTATCCCTTTTTATTCTCTCCTTATTTAAACCCATATCTCCTATTATTACATGTACATGAACACATAGGTTAAGAGATGAGGTTACATACAACCTCTGTAGGAGAATAATGATACTGTCTACTTAAATGTCATAAAATAAAGCTGCACAATCCAACTACATAAACTGTGTGTGATTGTGGTCTGCTTATTTCCATCCATCTTTTTTAGTATTTATCCCATTTTAAAATTTAACAAAATTATTTCCCATGGCTTGATTGGCTATCTTCAATTTGCAGCCATTCTTTTTACATCTCTTTGCAAAAGGACACTGTCAAAAATTATTAAGTCTTTATGTGACAATTTCAAACCAACAAGTGCTTTTCCAGGAAGTTTGCAGTATTCCTATACAGTTTATGTTAGAGCCAGGAAATGAAGCTGCCCACTCCCTATTCACAAATTCAAAATATGAGAAACTACACAGGCCATGAGGGTCTTGGAAACTGACTGCTGGAGCAAGTAGATTGCTCTATGAATTGCTTTATTGCTAAGGGAAAAATGTAGTGGTGATCTCTCAAATTAGGAAATTGATAGAACTTCTTTTTTAAAGAAATGACTGTGTCCTTTTAAATCGCTAGCATTTTGTATAATATACCTTCTTGTGTTTAAAAAAAATGGAACAACTTTCTTTCTTATGGCCTATTTTAATCTTTAAATTCCTTGATTCAAATTTCCTATGTATATGGTGCTGAATATTTTCCCCTATTAAGTTTAATGCCTAACATATGGTAGGCCTTCAAGAATTGTTTGTGAGTGAATGAATGATGGCATGTTATCAGGCTTCTAATATATTATTATTGAACAAGCAAATGATTCTGCAGCTTTGAACTCATTCCCAACCTGAGTGGCACCTCTGATTTTCAGTCAAACATTGTTGATGAAACATTTTTGAGTATGATACTATAAATATATCTAATTTGATACCAAAATAATGTGGATTTTTTTTCCAGCCCTGTCATAGTGGAAATTCCTCACTTTGGGTCCATGAGGGGAAAAGAGAGAGAACTCATTGTTCTTCGAAGTGAAAATGGTGAAACATGGAAGGAACATCAATTTGACAGTAAAAATGAAGATTTAACCGAATTACTTAATGGCATGGATGAAGGTAATAATGATGACTCCTTTTTTCTGTCACTATTTGCAGGCAGAAACAGGGAATTACTGGATTGCATGAAACAGTACCTGAGCTTCTCTTTGTTGTATTTTAAGCTGGGATCCAAGTTCCTTAGCATTTGCGATTTTCAGTATCTATGGCATAAAGTTCCATTTAATTTAACAATTGTCCTCCTCCCCCTCCCCCCAACACACACACTACAGATGTGCAATATTCTGGTGATTCTTTTAGTTTTTAATCAAATGTATCAATCTTTCCAAATCCCAAGAAAGGATAAGGTGAGATGAAATAATAATGAAAGGCATGTGAAGCATGTGGAGCATTTTCAGGAAAATAAGTTCACATTTTATTTTTGGAATTATTATTTCCAGACTCTTTCAGTTCATTCAGTTTTCTCCCAGTGTACTTCAATATTCTTCCTGAATTTTTAATATTGCTTGGGCCATAACAAGTTTAAAAAATAAGTTTCAAGATAATTATTGGAGTCTGTGGTGTTTTGGTGTCTTATTCTTTGACCTAGTAAGAACGGCAAAACAGATCTTATTTTAGGATGTCTGATGCTTAGAATCATAGCAGTTTTTCTTAGTAGACATTGATAGTAGACTGGTTTTGAGAGTAGTTATTTGACAGAGATTTCCTTAAATAATGTAAGAGGGAGGAGAAACCAAGCTCATGAAATCTGATGCTATAGACAAAAATGTCAGAGCTAATCTTTTTACTTTGTATTTACTTCCTACTCACTGCAAATTCAGCCATTGTTTTTAAATTATAGCTTTAGTGGAGATGTAATTCACATCCTATAAAATTCATATTTATTAATTCATTGAGTTTTAGAATGTATCTAACAGGGTTTCTTGCAGGTTCAGGGTGTAGACAAAGGAGCTAGACAAACTTAGTATTTGAAGGATGGCTTGGACAAGTCACTTAATCCCTGTGTGCCTTTTTCTTGGGTAAAACAGAGGAAACCCTCCTTGCTTTATAGAATTACTATTAAAAATAATAAATATTTATGTGAAGTGCTCTTATTTCAGAAATAGTCCTTTTCACACAGTGAGCCCTTGATAAATTTCAGTTACTGTCACCGTTATATTCATTCTACAAGGGAAAAAAAATGTCATGCCAAAAGTTTTGTATAAGATATGGTCACTACCAACCATGAATGTTAAAGATGCTTTATAGCCAGGTAGATAGAAACTAATAATTGGAGAAATCCAGCAATCATGAGGCACTGGTAACTGCCTTTATATATGAAAAGTTTAAAAAGAAAATATAGCATTATAAACTCAGTCGTTTTACTTCTACTTTTCAGGGAAAGGAACTAAAATTCAGAGAAGTCAAGTAATTATCTAAGATTAACTTACTAAATAGCAGCACTGGGGATGAAATCTAGTTCTATATTTCCAAGATTTTTAACTGTATTCCACTTATTTTAGAAATGTGTACCCTGTGAAGAAGAAAACAAACCCACAATGGAAAATTGCTACAGACTTCCAAGTTTGGTCCAGATTAGATTGGGTCTAGATTAGGATCAGGTACATTTAATGCATATATGCTATTTAAGGATTAAACATATATTAATATTTATATTACATGCTATCTACAAATTCAAGTAATTTCTTAAGGATGGGAACATTCAGTGGGGATTAAAATTTCTAATTAGTATTACCTGAACTTGTTCTAAAGCATAACAGATAGTCATTCTCTTACATGACATGAAGAGAAACACAGTCAAAAGTTTTTAAAAGAATAAATGCTTAGAATAAATTAGCATTTGTGGAAGGCTGAAAGAATTTTTAACCTGATGATTCAGGTTAAAAAATGGAGAGATTAAGAGGAATGGATTTTCTATAGATGATAGTCATCCTTTTAAAGAAAACAAAGTATGAAAAATGTTTTTAAAGATCCAGTATTTCTTAAATACTAAAGTGGTTTTGAAAATGTAATGTCTACTACAAAAAAAAAACTTTTTTTTAATGGATAGCTACTTGATACTGTAAGTTCCTTGAAGGCAAGATACACACCTTCCTCCTCTTGTCACCAGAGTCAGGCACAGAGGTAATAGACAGAAAGATATACAGTATAAGCCATCTGGAGGAAAGGTCTCTGTAGTCTGTTTCCTCTACCCCAGTCTTCATTAATATTAATCTCCTGGAGAAAAAAAAAATAGCAGAACACTTGAATTTGAAAAAAAAAATGAAAAGCTGATACTATTTTCAAAGAACACTGACTATTCTAAGACAGAGCTACCCAATAGAACTTAATGATGATGGAAATGTACTACACCTCTGCTGTCTAAATAAGAAATCTCTAGTCATACATGGTTCTTGAGCACTTAAAATGTAAATCATGCAACTGAGGAAGGTAATTTTTTGTTTTTGATTCATTTAAGATAGCCACATGGCCAGTGGCAACCTCACTGGACAGTGCATTTTTAGCAAGAATACTGAATACTCTAATAATACATTCTTCATTTTTGAGCATATGTTATATATAGTATGACCTATCAGGCAAAAGTCAATTTTTTTTTCAAATTTTCAGGTTTCTTTTGGGGAGTGTGCTTTTATTATTTCACACATCACATAATGTGTTTTGTTTTTAATAAGTCAGTTTTCAAATAGGAATAAGTTCTGTCTTTGCTTAGACAAATGGTGTCCCAAACACAGCTATGCCAATGGTTAAAGAAACGGTGATATAATTCTCCGCCCTGGATTCTGTGTGTTATCCTGGAAATGGCAGATTGAGTTTCTTTGCTACATTTTTAAAGACCAGATATAATTTGATTCTATTTTAGATAATTAAAAGGAATTATAAATACTTCCAGGTTTAAAGAATCAAGCCCCCTACAGACTGTGAGAGCAAAAATGAGAACTAAATTTTCAAGGCACAGTGGTTTTTATGTGTATTAAATTTAAAAATAATAATAATGAAGGAATAATAACACATTTTATAACAGAAGCTTTGTTTGATTTTGTACCAAATTCAAGTCTTAAGTTCCACACTCCTATCCCCACAAATATGTCATTCTTATCAGAACATCCCCCCTCTAAAACCAAGCAAAAATAGAAATCAATCTATGTGTTTAAAAGAAGTTAACCTGTTATTTTCCTGGATCATCCAGCTAGTCAAACCTCTAGTGGGGCAGAAGCATAAGTGCCACAGAGAAGGTTGTGTGTTTTGTGTTCTTATCTCTCCACTCTGGGCCTCTCTCCTTTTTGCTCCTGGATTACTGTTAACAAGAGAAAAGCCATGCATGAAATAAACCAGTGACCAGATCCCTCAAGATTTCCTTAAGGAAAAGAGAAGTAAATTGGCCTATGATTATTTTATTTAACTTATTAATTTCCATAGTTCATAACAATTAGGCTTCATCTGCCATATATATATATATGATCCGTGATAATGTGTATCTTATTATAAATGTTTCCTTTTTAAACTTCCGTTTGCATAAATGAATTCTGTATGCTACTTAATAACCAGTCTACATGCTAATTACCAGTCCCATTGTACTCTCTGGTCTGAAAATTTTAATACCCAAGTCTTTAAAAATTATCTTAGGCTGAGCACAGTAGAGCACACCTGTAATCCCAGTGACTCAGGAGGGTGAGGCAGGAGAATCACAAGATCAATGCACTTCAGCAATTTAGCAAGACCCTCAGAAACTTATGAAGACTCTGTCTCAAAATAAAAAATAAAAAGGACTGGGTGTAGCTCTGGTGAAGTAGTCCTGGGTTCAATGCCAATTACCAAAATAATAAAAAATAAAAATCATCTTAGCCATTATTTTGATCACTGATTTTTACTAAACAACAAAATTGTAAAGTTTGGATATGTTCAATGGTGTTTTAAAATGTACAAAGCCTTTCCATGTACTTAAATTTAATTATAAAACAACTTCAGGAAAAGCCAGGAAGAAGAGAATTTGCTCATCTTAGTAATGTGATTGGGACCATGATCTGTGGAAGTTACATAGATCAGAATTCCCATTCTGTGTCTCTACCACTTATTAGTTAAGTGACCCTAACCAAGTGCTCACTCTCTCTACAACTTAGTTTAAGTGTGTGCAGGGAGGATGCCTCAGAATGAATTAATGGGCAGCAGAGGAGCTACTCTATGTTAAATTCATACCTGCTTGCCCAGTGTTCAGTCACAGCCACAGAGACCATGTTAAGTTGTGTAAGGAGAGCAAGTGGAGTCTGACATCCTGCCTCTCTGACTTACCACTCCATTGCTTTGGCACTGGCCCAAGAACAAATGGGCACTCTTCAAATTTGTTCAGTGCTGCTATTTGCTTGCCAAGCTGTCTACTTGCCTCATGTGGGCACCCTTTCCCATATTGCACGAGGACACCATGGGCTAGACATAACACCCCACCCCCACCATCCAATCAGGAAATAGTAAATAGGTGGACCTAAACTTCCAAAATTTGGGCTTCTGTTTCCACACCCACTTGTCTTTCTACTGCACTCCTTTGCCCTCCTGTATGCTCTCAAATGAAGGATGCCTAGGGAAGTGCTTTGTGTAGAACAAAACTGTCACAAAAATGTCAACTGGTATTTAAGCTTTTCATTATTAATAATGATACCCTCTCAGTTCTTGTCTGACTTAAAAAGATATAGCATATGTTCAGGAAAAACTTTAGCTGCAAAATAGTAGAGAAATAAGACCTACTTCTAGCACTCTTAAGCAAGCCCAGGGACAAAGTCATCTGGTTATGCTAATGAAGCAGGTGTGTAGCAAAGTTCTCTTGAAGTAAGAAGGCTAGATTAACACAGAGGGCATTTGGTCTGGGTGCAAAGAACCTGCCTTTACCACTAAGGTATCATGTTTCAAGAGCAACTTTTCTCTTTGGCAGCAGATAGAGAGATCTGTTTATGCTCTTATCAATTAGTGTATTCCTGGCACAGAAAAAGACTGCAAAACAGAAAACAAACATTTACCACCCCAAATAGTACACCAAATTTAATCTACTTTTTGAGTTTAGTGAAAACCTT